CTGCTCGGCGAGTTGGTTGAGGTGATCAATTATGAGAGCTTTTACATGCTCACCCAGGTGCACGTCATTTTCCCCCAAGAACTCGTGAAGCGTAGGGAAACACAGTTGTGTGTTCACACTCACACAACTTGCCCAGAACCGTAGCTTCTTTATCATGGCCTCAACCCTGTCTTGTGTGTTGAACACAGTTACACTGACTCCCTGCAGACTTAGATAGAGTTCATTCAGAGCTGAGAAGATGTCCGCTAGATAGGCGAGCCTTTTCAGAAAATCTTCGTCATGCATACTGGAGGCCAAATGAAACGGATTCTCCTCAAAAAACTGCTGAAATTCGTGCCGGAGTTCAAAGAGCCTTGTCAGCACTTTGCCGCGGGACAGCCAACGCACCTCTGTGTGCAGCAGCAGTGATTTGTGTTCGCTGCCCATCTCGTTACATAACAGAGTGAATATTCGTGAATTTAGCGGACGAGCTTTAATGAAGTTCACCAGTTTGACTGCGTCGTTCAGCGCTGCAAGTAGATCAGCTGGCATGTTTTTGGCTGCGAGGGCCTCTCTGTGAATACTGCAGTGTAACCAGCTGATGGATGGGCAGACTCTCCTAATATGAGCTATAAGCCCCGTGTGTTTGCCCGTCATTGATTTTGCCCCGTCTGTGCAAATTCCCACACAGCGCTCCCAGTCGATGCCATTGGTCCTCATAAAAACGTCAATTAAATTGAAGATTTCCTGTCCGGTTGTTCGGGTAGCAAGGGGCCGACAGAACAAAAACTCTTCTTGTAAGGATCCTTCAAAAAGGTAACGGACATAGAGAAGAAGATTGGCCAGATTTGCAACATCTGTAGACTCGTCTACTTGCAGAGAGTAAAACTTTTCTTCACACGGCTGAGTAGTACAGCCAGGATGTCTTCAGACATGGCATCAATGCGGCGCGACACAGTGTTATTGGACACAGGAATCATGTCCAACTTTTTTGCCTCTTTCTCTCCAATCATACACTCCACCATTTCTTTGGCCGCTGGCAAACACACGTCTTCGGCCATTGTGTGCGGCAGCCCCTTTCTCCCTAGTCTGTAACTGAGCAGATATGAAGCCCGTAGTGCGTCTTTCGTAGACCCAACGCATGAATGAAACTGCATTTTCTTTTGGCTTTTCTGCAACTCCTCCAATTTCCCTTTAAAAAATGTAAGGGGCTTGTGACTTAAATGGCCATGTTTCGTGTGCATGTGACGACGGAGATAAGATGGCTTCAGACAGCTGTTTGCTAGAACCTCACTGCACAACACTTCGGACAAATCTGTATCGCCGATCCAAGTGAAGCCCAGACCCAGATAATTGTCATCATATTTTCTTCTTTTTTTCCCGTCTGGTGTTCACCCTCATCACTTCTTTTTTGGCATCTCCTACCCTGCTCTTCGATTTCCTCCCGTGCATCTTCTGACTCCCGCTCATTTTCTGTCTCTATCCTCTCCGTCTCTGTTGCCTCCAAATCCTCTCTCTCTCTTGGTCCCTCTCCTCCTTCGTGACTAATAACTTTATTACAAGACGTCCCACTTGACAGTTTCCCTGATTTCAGCCAGTTAAGCATATTTACACGATCAATGAAACGAGTTGGCGAGCATATTGCCTAGCGGCTGCAGTGCATGAAAGAAGAGCATGTTTCTATCAAAAAATAATATATTATAGTATTTCTATTTAAAATAAAAGCGATTACAAAGGAAATGTTTACTTACTTTCATGCTTTTTTATTGTATGGAAAAATCGTTTTATATATGTCAATGAAAAAATCCCACTTAAAAAAACTGACCGCCATTATATTTTTCCTCTCGCGCACCCCCTGGTCGCAGCTCGCGCACCCCTGGGGGTGCGGATCATGCAGCATGCAGCAGATCGACTGGTCTTTAACCTGCCTTAATTCTCCCACACTAGTCCTCTCTCTTCACTGGCTACCAGTGGTTTTCACGTTTTCACATTGGATCTCACGTACCATGCTGTGAATGGATCGGTTCCAGTCTACATCCAGGACATGGTCAAACCCTGCATCCTAACCTGCAAACTCCGCTCTGCATCTGCCAAATGGCTTGTTCCTTCCCCACTGAGAGCAAAACACTCAACAAGATCACGACCCTTTGATGGAAGGAGCTCTCTGATGACATTAGGATGGCAGAGAGTCTTTAAATATTCTGTTTATGAAGCCACATACCCCTTCAATTTCCACACCCATCACTGATTTTTCTTGTCTTTTTTTGTCTTTTTGACCGCGTGTCCGGCTGCAGCTTTAATTAGGGCCTGAGCCGACTGCAAGTCGGGCGAAAGCCCTATTGTGTTTCGAAGAGTTATTATTATTATTTCTTGCACTAGATCACACTTTTGAGGCCTTTAACATATTCAAAAACTCTTGAAATTTTGCATGCGCATCAGAAGTGCGAAAAAATTTGATAATTTCAGGGTCGCGCATTTGGGTTCGATAAAATGGCTATCTAGCGCCCCCTAGGGACGTTTCCTCTGGGAGATTATTTTCTAGTTTTACCAATTGACTTGACATTTTGCACTTAGGTGCTCTTGGATATGCTCTACAACAAAGTCAATCATGGTATGCAAATGCGCCTAACTAAATTTTCTGCCATTTTGAATTTTGTGAAAAACACGTTTTTGAAAAATCCTCCTAGACGCTAGGTCAGATTTTCAGTAAATTTTCATGAAATCATTATTGGGTCACTGCCATCAGAAGTTATTAAAAGCTTATTGATATCTCATTGGGTTTTGAAGTTATGGACCAATGAATGTTGTAAGGGGTGTGGCTTAATAGTTAAAGACCTATAACTTCAAATGTAATTGGCCTGTCTTAACCAAATCTCTAGGACATGTTCACATTGAGTCCCTGAGCATACCCTGATATTTTCAGAATATTTGAACTTTAGGGGGCGCTGCAGTCGTTCTCTGAACCTTTGCTCGTTTTTTGCGATTTCCATCGCATTTTGGCTTTACAAACGAACAAACTCCTCCGAGAGTTTGAACCCGATCCACTTCATTTTCGGGAAAATGGATCCTTACAACTGAATGGTCAATAGCTATTAAAATCAAGATTTTTCGTGAAACTACCAGGGCGTGACCTCACGTCCATTTTGGTCGATTTCGGTCGATTGTCTTGAAAACTTAAAATGTTATAACTCCAAGAAACATTTTTATTTCTGGCCGAAATTTCTAATTCATGATGTTATTATATGCCTTAAAGAATTCCCATGCAGTGATTTTCAAAAAATTATAGCGCCACCTATTGGCTTAGCTAAATGCAAAAGTTTTACACTTTAATGTGTATCTCCTAGCCATTTAATCCGATCAACCTCAAATCCTAGCATATAAACCTTAAGGCTTTGATGATAGTGCACTGTGAATATTGGGAGTTTTTGAAAAACCGTGTTGCCGTGACGACACTGTCTTCGCATGAAAGTTCAAGCAGATACTTTGGTGCCTTAGCAAACTAAAAAACTCTTGAAAACTTCTGTCAGTGTCCTATGTGATGACATTAAAGAGCTGATGTGGAGTTTTCTCTCAAAAATGCTCAATCGCCTCCATAGCGCCCCCTGGCAGTTTTCAATGAAGTAGCCCCAGCGCCCTCTTTGACCTACATGAAAGACAATTTTTGGACACATGTATAATAGAGAGACGAAAAAAAAAGTCTCTTGGAACCATGCTCTAAAATGAACAGGAAGGCAGTTATAATTTTTTGTTTGAATATTCCCTCTATTTTTCGCATATAATAGAAGCTATACTTTTGAAGACCTCCTCTCTGCGACTTTGTCACAGCCACTTCAAATTTTGACAAAACAGTCTTAAGCCCTTGGTGATTAAAAGTTATTAAAACCTTTTCGTGTTACGCTATTTCTTTGGGAACCTGTTCTTCTAGGTCAAAACAGAAGTCCTTTTAAGGGACTAAATATGCTACAATCTTTACTAGATTAGAATACATTCCCTTCTCATTTACATGGCACATGGCATCCATTGTAGTCTGTCCATCCCGGGAGTGGGATCCCTCCTCTGACGTTCTCCCTTTTTTTTCCTCTTGGAAGGGTTTCTTTTTCATTTTTTGGGGAGTTTTTCCTGTGCCGATTGTGGGTTTCGGGACAGAGGAAGTCGTATGTGTACAGACTGTAAAGCCCTCTCAGCCAAATTTGTAATTTGCGATTTTGGGCTACACAAAATAAAATGAATTGAATTCAGAAGGCAGCGCAGGTACTGATTCAGGCTCTAGTCATCTCCCGCCTGGACTACTTCAACTCCCTCCTTAACCGACCAACCCACTGGCATTGCTGTGCAATCCAATCGGCATTGCAAGGACTCCTTGCTAAACAATAATAATGCTTCCAGAGGATATGGAGGCCAGCCTCCATCCTCATCCTGAAGCAATGGTTGCGACTTCCTCAGTGTTTTTCTGTGAGCACACACACACAGAGGATGCTGCTGTTGCTCGGACTCATCACTGATGCATCGTCCGTGTGAGGGGAAATCACATTATCTGGGCTGCACCGCTCCGCGTTAAGTAACGCGCTGCATTCCACTAAGGACGCTGGAGCACCACGAACAGCCTCCACGGCAGCTACAGGCTTTGACCTTGTCTCGTGCGTGGTCAATGTGTTCACAACATAGGACAACGACAGCTAAAATGATGTATGTGAGAAAAGTGGCTCCGCAACAGGTTCACACGTTGCATTGAAATAAATACAGAGGAGGGGTTTCCGGGGGGTGGGCTGCTATTGTTAAGCGTCCTCCTAGGGAGGCAATAACTGCATTGAGATTACATAATGACAGCCCGCACTTCAGACCGACATCCCGCGTGTCAGAGAAGAAGAAGGGCGAAATAAAAGAAGAGAAAGAAGGTATGCGGACGGAGTGACGCCCCGCCGGGGAGTCACCCCGGGAAGAAACAGCGAGTCACAAAGCAAACACCGTGGTCATGATGCTCCTCGCAGAGAGTGGGCACTATCTTCAGAGGATCTTCTTACCTTTGCTGTTGTTCTCCTCCCGGTTCAGATACATGGCTGTTAATTCACTCCGAGGGAGTGAACGGGACGCGACGCGACGGTGTTTGTCTTGGTGGTCGCTCGGTGGTCCTCTGGCGTAAACTCCCGAGGTTGTGGTTTGCAGTAGCAGCTGTTTATTGTTTGGTTGCTCCTCAAACAGTCTCTCCTCTCCTCCTAGTGGATACGTGGGCTAACCCGTTTGTGACTCTCACTGTCTCTCTCCCCCTCTGTGTCTGCTCTCCCTCCCCTCCCTCTCTCTCACTCTCCTCTCTCTCACCACACACAAAGAGAAAGATTCACAAACATGAAAACAGGAAGATGAAACCAGCTTATTTTTCAAACAAATGGTCTGTGCAGAGCACAAAACATCCCCACCAGTTTTAAAAATCGTTAAAAGCGTTAATAAAAGGTGTGTGAGCAAGAGGAGAATATTAGTTATTACACGTTGGTTAGCAGTTAAAGAACATTCTCTTCAACCGTTATTAACGAGTAAAGATGAACAAAAGTGTGTCACTCTTACTAAATCAACAAACCAAAAAAAAAACACAGGAGAAGACACACCGGTTCACTGTGGCTTTTTTTTTGCAGCTTTTTTAAGAAGTCTGTTTTCTCCGCTTCTATGTGCAGGCATGAAAATCCCTCACCTTTCGGTGAAATTTGCCGTTTTGAAACCAAAATAGTGACCTACGTGAATCGTGTAGATTCGCTGAGTTTTTCTGGGAGGGGGGTAGGGTATTCATATTCAGTGAACTGCGAACAGGTGCGTTTGTCAGAAAGAGCCTTGCATCACCAGTGCATCAGAAGCTGAAAGCAGAACCAAAGAACCCTCGGCGATTTACCTGACTGAATTGGGTGAGTGATGGTTTCAATAATTTTTATTTTTTCTGGCCTATCTAAGTTAAGTTACCCAGGAGCTTTGTTGACATAGACTTAGCTAACGTTAGCTACAGCTTGATGAGTTGAGTTATTTAACACAGCAGGAGAGAACGCGACGTTGGCCAGCTAGCTTAAGCTCACGTGGGAAATTATTAGCTAACGCTATCGTTTTTGAGGAGGTAGGAGGTGAGGGGACTGACGAGGCAGAAGGTAAAGTGGTCCACCGTTCTATCAATAAGCAGACCTGCCAACCTGATACGCATTTTGACGTACGCTGGTACGATTTGTCACTCTAAACTATGCAAATTAATTTTAGACTAGTTGGCCAGCACACATTATATGCAATGCAATATAATGCATGACGAGTATTTAATGACTTGTCCCCTATTAGTTGTTGTAAATTCCCATCCCCCCCTCGTCGGTACGCAAAAAATAATACCAAGGTTGGCAGGTCTGAATAAGGCTAAACTAGAAGTTAACACTAATACAAACATTATTTTTGCAGAAATGAGTGTGTTAGGAGAGAAGGATGCAGCCATTGTTAAACAGCTGGATGCTGGATTGAAATGCAGCTCGAACTGGTCCTGGCTAAAACTGGAAGGCAAGGTCTCAGTAAAAGGGCAAGAGGTGTCCTTTCATCTAGGAGATGTATTCCCCAAAATCAACAGGCAGGGATTCGCCAGATGCATTCTCTGCATCAAAGATATAAATTATGCTAACAAAGGCAGCCATGCTCTGCAGGCTCACTGCCAGACGGAAGTTCACAAGAAGAAGGTGCAGATGATAGCTTCCACTCATAGTCTTGCCAGCACTTTCCTTCCAGCATCAGCTAACCAGAGTGCAGCAAGCCAGAGTCAAGCATGCCAGGGGCCAAAAACAATCAGGCAGCAGTGCCAGGGAAAGATCCATGTACCAGTTATAAACCGCATAGCAAATGCAGAGGTAGGTGGTGTAGGCTTGTTAGTCAGCACAGGCAGCATAGACAAAGTACTTTGAGATTGTTTATTCAATGTAAAGTGCACTACAAATAAAATGCATTATTATTATTATTATTATTATTCACAATCAGCTCTGGTCACTGGCAGCATCTTCACCTAAACATGGAATACACTAGCTTTACATTAATGACATAATTTGTGTTCTATGCAATGGTCCTTGGAACCTTGGCGGAGCATTCCATCCCGTTTTCTAAGGCTCCTGTAATTGTTGAGCTTGCCCAGATCCTTTCCTTAGATAAACCAGCTTTGCAGGGAAGGAAGCTGTCACGGACAGCAGCTTCATACAAGATGATCCATGGTCTAGATATTTACTTTTTTTTTCTTACCTACTATTTCAGTGTTTTAATTTCTATTTTAGTACCCGCACACATAAAAAATGTTCCTTAAACCAGTGGTCCCCAACCACCGGGCCGCACGGTACCACAGAAAGCTTATACATATATTTTTTCTGAAAAATGTTTTATTTTGAAAATTGACCGGATTTTCTCCTAATTATGTGCGCTCGTCCCTCTGACATATTCTCCACGCGTCACCAGCCGTTTTTTTTGTCCTTTTACCGTGCACGGCAGTTTCGCCGACCAGCGAACACAGAGCGCACGACTACTACTTTACTGAGGTAAAAAAAGGTTGGGGACCACTGCCTTAAACTACCATGTCGCTATATATACTGCTATGTTGCCAGAATTTCCTGTTGTTTGATTTTTATTGTACCAATTAGATTATGCAGGTGATGTAACAAATGTCCGACTTTGTGTAGGGCGGACCTACTCTGAGAGGACCTTTTCAAACATGAAGAGATTTCTTTTTTCGTTAAATTTAGACGAGAGTATCTCCAACAACAACAAAAAGGTTGGTCTCATATTAAACTATTGCCGTCCATCCTTGTCCTGGTCCTGTTTTTGCTTCTCTGTATGCCCTGTCAAAATGTTGCATGGCTAATAAACCTTTTTATGTTGAAGTTCCTCACCATGCTTGTTTGCTACTATCATGCACACTTGAGGAAGGTGATAGTGGAGCATTTGGGGTCCTTGGAGATCGTGAAGGTGAATGCTGCTTCTTTAGAGAAGGTGCTCTGTGAGTTCTTTGAGAAAAACAACATCCCGTGGAATAACCTTGTGAGTATGCTGATGGACTCGTGTGCTGTGGTCAGCAAGACTGGCCTCGAGACCAGGATGCACCAATACTGTCCCAACCTGCTCGATGTTGACGGGGACTCCTGTCATCATATACACAATGCGGCAAAGAAGTTCTCAGAGCCCTTTGACAGCTACTTGGAGAAGCTGTTCAGTGATCTCCAGGTTGACCATCAGTGGAGTCCAGACCAGGTAAACAAAATGCCGAGCACATTTGACACTACAGCGCTTTACCCCCCTTTGTTGAGCGCTCACAGTAGCACACTCCACCTATGTGAATTTTGTATAACCTGAATTTGTCACCTATAGTCTAGACCACGACTGCTGACCCTACTGTACTGTGGTAAAACTATGGAATGTGTAGAATGTCTATGTGTTTCTTTGAAAATCTTTTTCTGTCTTTTGTGAGGTGATGTACCTCAAGGAGATAGCTATGATTCTAAATCTCCCCACCCCCAGCCCACAGAGGGGCTTTGTTCCTCATCGCTGGCTGTCTGCATACGATGCCAGCATGGCAACCCATGCCATGATGCCTGCGTACAAAGTCCTCTTATTAGGGCTATATCTCTACTGCAGATAAGGAGCTGTATAGGGAGCCTTTGGAACTGATGTACACAAAGTACGACGTCAACCAGGCAGCAAGAGCCAGAATCAAGGTGGTTCAGAAGGGAACTCAACAGGAAAGGTGATGAGACTTGATGTTCCAATCCCTTATAATAATTAGCACTTATACTTGTTATGAAGTTACAAATGAGGAGGAATATGTATTCTGTTTTACACTTACATTATTTCATCTTTCACAGGCATGACTCCACAAGGCTGTGAGAGAAATAAGAGGGTATGTCAGAAGCTGTGGCATGAGGAGACGACAACAGTCCTATGGCTCAGCATTTACATGGGTGTGCTGGCTATTCTCAAGGAGTATGTCATGGTTTTCCAGGTAGGTGTTAGTTGTGCTTGGAATTACTGCAACTTGACTGCACGTGCATGCACATCCAATGTTGGCAATAAATCTAAATAATTTGTTCTATATACACAGGGTAGCCAGACATTGGTTCACAAACTCCATGATTGCTTCATGAAGGCCGAACACATTACTCAGGTAATCAACTCCTTCTTACACCCACTCTGCCTATATTAGTATATTGATTTTTATCTCTATTATTGTTTTTTGTTAAGCAACCTGGGGTCTTTTGAAAGGCACTTAAGTTATTACCCCTATTAATTACTTGCCTTACACAGCTGTCTCCCAGGGCTCTGAGGGAGATGGTTCTGGAGTATCATATGCTGCTGCCCTCCAAGGAGGTCTATGTGGGACAGGAGGCTGACACGTTCAGGAGCCAGAATCCCAATCATGCTGTAAGTACCCTGCATCACCTGCATGACCCTTTTTCTCAATTGTTTTTGAGACTTAAAATAAATGTCAGTTTTTGGTGTTTTCGTGTCAGCTATTGGTGCCATTCCTAGCAGACGTCAGGAAAGCCTACATCACCACTGCAGTGTACCTCCAGAAGAAGCTCCCCTTGGCCAGTCGACTCTGACAGCCCTGTCTGCTCTGGACCCTCTTCTGAGAGGCCACTCACAGGCAACCATCCAGTTGAAGGTTTTCTTTTTTGCCATATTACCAGGTACTTTGGTTTTTTTGTTACCTCGTGTCCTTACACTGATGTCAAATTCTCATCCATTTCTTGGTAGGCTGAGTGGTATGCTGAGGCACCTCTTGCCAGCAGACCAAGACATCCAGAGAGAACTTGTGCGGTTCAGTGTTGACCTGACCAGCCCCAGTTTCAAGGAGGAAGAGAGCATTGTGGAGTGGTGGGGCCATGTCTTTGACCAGCCAGATAAGTACCCCTTCCTGAGTGCAATGGTTCAATGTTGCCTCTCCATCTTTCACGGACCAAGATGTGAGTTACCTTTTAGTTTGATGAACGATGTAATTGACCAAAGGAGTGGCAACATGAATGTACCAACATTTAATGCTATCCAGGCGGTCAAGTACACCCTGCAGTCCAGGGGAAGACAGCCATGCAGCTCTTCAGAAGGGACGATGTGAAGTTTGGGGAGGTGGACAGAACCTCAACTCTGCAGCAGCCACATACGAATGCCAGCAGAAGATTAATCAAAAAGAAAAGCAGCAGCAGCAGAGCAAGTATGGCTCCCAAGCATCTAGCAGTGCTCAGCAGGCCAAGAAGCAGAAT